TGTTGAAATGAAACTACATATTCATGTTATAGGTCTGGTGTTTTCAACATATTCATTAAAAAAGAAAAGTCTGCATGAAGCATTTTAACTTTTAATAACATTAAAACGTGTTTAAAAAAAAGTTTCTCGTATCCAAACCAAGAAAAATAAATATTTGAGGTTTGTTAAATTTAAAATAATAATAAAAAAAGAAGTAAAAGAAAAAAGAAAAAAGAAAAAAAGTCAATCAATTTTGTGTTTAGTTATTCTTTGTTTTCTCCTTTCTGTATATTTCAGGAAGTGGGTTAAAGAAGTGCATGGAGCTGGGAGCAGAAAGTTTGTGGAAAGTTTCCCGTCCCACCGGACCTCACCGGAGCAGCACCGGGGCAGCACCGGAGCAGCACCGGAGCAGCACCTTAGCAGAACCGGAGCAGCACCGGTCCAGCCTCCAGTGCTCAGAGCCGCTGCTGCCGTCTGGACGCCTACAGGCTGAAAAGTTGTGTAGTTGTGTTCCCTTCCTCCCCCTTGCGGAGCGTCCTGTCACTGGTGGAAAATGGCTGCTCGGAGTAGCTCCCCAAAGCTCAGAGAAAACTGAAAAAACCACCAAGAGTCCACATTTTCTCCAGCAAAGGGGTCACGTCTGGACCTGATCTCAGAGGGAAGGCGACGCCTCGGGACGGCCGCACGCTGAGGATGTCTCGCTGGGTGCCCACCAAGAAGGAAAAGTATGGAGTTGGTACGTAGAGAAAACTTGCAATGCTCCATCGTTAGCTGTGTCGTCCTAGCGCTCAGATTGCACAAGTTACGGGCAGGAATCGTGGCCAGACGGCGGCCGGCGGAGCCGCTAAACGCACCGATTTGCGTAAAGTTTAGCGGAGAAACGGAAGGATTTGGTTCGTGGGGAGAGGAATTTGCCTGGTGGTTTGCATGAAAGGCAAAACAAGGATTGACTGTGTGTCTTTTGTGAGGAAGAGGACCGTGTGTGTGTGTGTGTGTGTGTGTGTGTGGATTGGGAATTGTTCGAGGCGCGCCTAGCTCGAGCTGTTTCCTGTGTTGTGGGGCCTCCGCTACAAACTAACAGCTCACAGGCCGACTGGACACTTTGTTGCTGCTGTTGTGTCCTCATAAGGGCAGCTGCTGTTGTTGTTGTTTGTTTGTTGTTTGTTTTAGTTGTTGTTGTGTGAAAGGCTTTGAAACCCGGCCGGGAGAACTCTGTCCCTCCTCTCAGCTTCCACTTTCTCCTGTAGGATCACTGAGCAGCGGTTAGCTCACAGCATCCAGAGTTCTGCTGGAGCTGCTGGAGCTGGTCAGAACTCACCTGAGTGTCTCTATAGCAACCACATAAATATGAATATCTACTTATTGACATCTGATAGAGCTGCTACAGTTAATAATGTAAAAATACACATGAATAAAATTATCGTTCAAGCAAAGTAAATACAGGAAATATAAATACAAAATCTAAATAAAAAGTATTATAAACTTTATTCATTAAAATTGGAGTTACAAGGTGCTTTACAAAACATTAAAATACACCAATTTGGTAGGAAAAAAAGGTCAAAAATCACTTTGTGTCTCTATATTAAAGAAATAAATATTATTATTTACTTTTTGACATCTACTAGAGCTGCTATAATTAATAATGTAAAAATATACATGAGTAAAATAATAATTTAAACTAAATAAATACAGGAAATATAAATACAAAATCTAAATAAAAAATATTCAAAACTTTATTCATGAAAATTGGAGTTACAAGGTGCTTTACTAAACAGTAA